CTGGGGATTCGAACCCGCCACCTTAGGTGTATGTGGCTGGCGCCTTAGCCGCTGGAGCCACAGGCGCCGAGCCTCCTTATACTTTTTGACAGATGTGAACTATTGAAGTTTCAGAAGCTCTTTTAGTGAATTTGGAAGGATTTTATTATACGTCTGTTTTTAGGAAAATGGAGGGCCATTTGAGCCAGGATCTCTCAACTATTCATGTGATAAACTGCAAAAGTGGTTGCTTTACATTAATAAGCAACCATATTATTAACAACAACCCATCTCATATTTTATTTACTTACTTGATCATACTTGCTCAGGTATTTTAATAACATCTCTTAATAATTTTTAGAAGTTCCTATTTTTCTCAAATGCTATTTAAAAGGAAGTAGACAAAAATTGAATTTTAGTCTCTCTAGGGTCAGAAGTGTTAAGACCATCCTAGGCACAGCCAGCCCTGGGTGGAGTTCAGGGATGGGCTGGAGGCTTCCCAGTGGTGTGGACCCTGTGGGTGAACCAGGCACCTTACCTTCTGTCCGCGGTAGCCCTTGGGGCCGGGGGGGCCGGGGATCTCCAGGCAGCTAACCTTGTAGCACTGCAATGAGGAAGTGGAGAAGCAGTGGTTTAGGTGTGTGTGTGGGGATCCCAGGTGGCCCCTAAATCCTGTGGAGACCACAGGGATGGGGTGCAGGAGCTGACTTGCAGGGCACCAGGCCCTGCCCCCACCCTGGCAGATCCCCAGAGTCTGGTTCTCAGTTAAGTGCTCTAGTCAAATTTTAGAAAACCAAGGCTGAGTTAAGCTAGGATAGAAAGTAAAGAGGATTAAAGCTCACAGACAGGGTGTTGGCTAGGCACCAGGTATGTATATAGGAGTTAAATCTCCATGTGAGGGAGTAACTCTTCTGTGGCAGCTCATGTGTCTGCAAGGGACCTGAACATGGAGGTCTCAGACACCTGCTCCCGGATGTCCTCTGTCCCAACCCTCTGACTCTCTTCTCGGTGTGCTCTGCGGGTGACCCTAATACTGACTTCGGAACTTAGCCTGGCTTTGGCTGAGAGCCCTTTGTCCAAAATCAAATGTCTCAAGGCCCAACACAGAGAAGTGCTCTCCACCAGGAGCACCAGGAGCCAGCAGCCTGATGTGGCAATCTTTGATGGGTCAGCGGCTTCAGAGGCCCAGGGAGTGGCTGGCCAGCGCTAGCAGGAAGGGGGAGCCACTCACCTCCCCATAGGCTTCGTGTTTCTGCAGGAGAGGAGAGAGAGGCAGATGAGTCGCGTGGGGCCTCAGACACCTCGCTGCAGAGAGGGGGCTGCGGCCTGCGGGGGAGCCCCTCCAGACCCCCATCTAGCCCCGCCCCACCCACTTCTCCCGCCTGACCACACCCTTCATTGCCCTGCGCACCATGACCCGGATGATGCGCTCGATAGTGTCCTGGTCGATCTCTAACGAGTCCGGCAGCATCGTGGCATAGCTGTTGCGGTACAGCTCGAGCGGCGGGCTGGCGATGTCGCGCAGGCCCTGCTCCTTCACGTTGCGGTTGGGGGCCACAGCGAAGAGCCGCACGCCCTCCTCTCGCGCGCGTTCAGCCTGCAGCTTAATGCCACCGCAAGGGCTGCCTGTGACGTGGCCGTCGGTGATGACCACGGCGAAGTGCACGCCGCGGCCGCCCAGCTGCCGCACTTGCTGCGTCATGTTGGCCAGAGCACAGTCGGTGAAGGTGCCGCGGCGGAATGAGCGCACAGCTTGTAGGCTGCGCGTGAAGGACGCGCGGTCGCTGCCTGGCGGGCTGAACACCTCCACCTGGTCGGAGAAGTGCAGGCCACCGTAGCGCCAGCTCAGAGCCACCTGGCCCAGATACAGCTCGTTCTGTAGCTGGCTGATGAGCTGCGGCACGAACTGCTGCATGTGGGACAGCAGGATGTCTGTGGGGGGCTGCATGGCGACGCTCTCCGAGGTGTCCAGCACGAAGTACACGTTGACGGGGCAATCAGCCTTCTCTGGGGGACAGGGAACACCAGCTTGTCACGGGCATGCCTTGGCTGCCACTGGGAGTCGTTTCCGTGGGCGTCCCTGTGGCCCCCTGCCTGCCTGGACCACGCCCCCAGGCCCTGCCCCTACCTGGGCAGTTGTTATTTCTCTCTGAGGTACCAGGAGGTGAGATGACTTCCTGCTGCTGGGCATGGACGGCCCTCAGGAGCCCACAGAGCAGAAGCACGGAGCAGGGGCCCCCAAGCATCTTGGCAGCACCGTGTGCCCTGAGACCTGCAACAGGGAGAGGGGCTGCTGTAGAGGCATGCAACCCCTCACCCCCCCTTCCTCTCCCACAGGCGCAAACAGGTCAGGGCGACTGGGAGGCTCTGCCCCTCATTCCTGGAGGAAGCTGGGGCCTGTGCTTGGCACACGTCATTGCCAGCATCTGGGCTGGGGTATACCCTCTGCCTCAGCCCTGGGTGGGGCCACAAACATTTAGCTGGTGCAAGTGGTCTTAGTTCTGGGTAGGATTTGGACGTTCAAGGCCCCTCCCTGTCCTCTGGAGCCGGGGGGTGGGGGTAAACTGGGGGCCCTTCCCCTGCCTGGTTCTGCACAGAGGTGTGGACAGAGGGAAGGGGGAGAGACGCCCAGCCACAGGGGAGGACTCATAGTCCCACTGCAAGCTCAGGCAAGTCATCTTCCCTCTAGCCTGGTTTCCTCCCTTTCATTTACTGCTTAGAGACAAAGTCTCACTCTGTCACCCAAGCTGGAGTGCAGTGGTGTGATCACAGCTCACTGTAGCCTCCAGCTTCTGAGCTCAAGTGATCCTCCTGCCTCAGGCTCTAGGGTATCTGGGACTACAGATGTGTGCCACCATGCCCAGATAATTTTAATTTTTTTGTTAACTTTAATTGTAAAGACAGAGGTCTCACTATGTTGCCCAGGCTGGTCTCAAACTCCTAGCCTCAAGCAGTCTTCCCACCGCAGCTTCCCAAAGTGCCTGGCCTCTGTCACTTTAAAGGAGACCTTGACAAGGTCTAAGGGAGGATGCTGTCTAGTCTAGGGCGACTTAACTCTGGCTTCCCGTTGGGTATCTGGTCCCCAGAACAAATGGATCCAGTTCTCTTTCTCTCTCTTTCTCCTTTTCTTGTTTTTGAGACAGAGTCTCAAGCTGTTGCCTTGGATAGAGTGCTGTGGTGTCACAGCTCACATCAACCTCAAACTCTTGGGTTTAAGTGATTCTTTTGCCTCAGCCTCCCAAGTAGTTGGCACTATAGGCACCCACCACAATGCCTAGCTGTTTTCTTTGTTGTTGTTGCCATAGTTGTTTAGCAGGCCCGGGCCAGGTTTGAACCCTCCAGCCTCAATGTATGTAGCTGGCGCCCTACCCACTGAGCTACAGGTGCCACCCCAGTCCTCTCTCTCTTGAGTACCCTCCCCACCTCCTGTGGTTTGGCCTGAGATCCAGTTCACAGCTGGAACAGGCCACTGAGGTGGAGCCAGAACTGGTCTCACTGTGCCTGCTGGCCAGGGTCCTTTAGCCACTGACTGGCTCCCAGGATGGGGCTATCAGCAACTGGGATGAAAGGGTATCAGAACCCAGTTCAAAACATGCAGTTATAGGAGGTGATGCAAAGTCAGTGTGGGCACTGCCCTTTGCTCTGCGCACATGTCCATCAAGATGGCCAAAGGCCCACAGGCGTGGGAGACATCCTAGCTAGAACCAGGGCTGGGGCTGCCCAGGAGAGGGCCCTGGCCTCTGTTAGGTCTTCTGTGGATGGGATGACCCAGGTCAGACATGCCCTTCTGTTCTTTCCCATAAGGTCTGGGAAAGAACAGAAGCATTGGAAGGAAGTTCCTTCCCAAAAGGCTGTGAATTCCTTCATACCTATAAGGGCCAATGCTTCTCTGCTATTTAACCTGTTTCAGAACATCAAAGTGTAATTTTCTTAATTTATTTTTAAAACTGGCACAATCAGAGACTAAAACTTGATAAAGAAATCCCTACTTGTTGTAGTTGTGCAGAAGCTTTTTGGTTTGATCATGTCCCATTCATTTATTTCTGGTGTTGCTGCAATTGCCAAGGGCATCTTCATAAAATCTTTTCCCAGGCTAATGTTTATAGTTTCTTCCACACTTTCTTCTAGAATTTTTATCATTTTGGGTCTAAAATTTAAATCTCTTATCCAGTGAGAGTCAATTTTTTGTAAGTGGTGAGAGGTGCAGTTCAAGGTTTAGTCTCCTACATGTGGCTAATCAGTTTTATTAGCACCATTTATTAAATAGGGATTCTTTTCCCCAATGCATGTTTGTCTGCTTTACCAAAGCTCAGATGGTGATACATGACTGGTTTCATCTGTAGGTTCTGTATTCCATTGCATAGATCTGTGTCTCTATTTTTGTGCCAGTACCATGCTGTTCTGACCACTGTAAACTTGTAGTGTAATGTGAAGTCTGGTAAAGTGATGCTTCCAGATTTGTTTTTATTTCCTAGAATTTCTTTGGTTATTTGGGTTTTTATCTGGTTCCATAAGAAATGAAGTACTATTTTTTCAAGTTCTTCAAAGTATGACATTGGTACTTTGATGGAGATTGCATTAAATCGGTAGATTACTTTGGGTAGTATGTATATTTTAACACTGTTGATTCTTCCCAGCCATCAGCATGGTTCTTTCATTTGTTAATGTCTTCTGCTATTTCTTTTCTCAGGGTTTTGTAGTTCTCTCTATAAATATCCTTCACATCATTTGTTACGTATATTACCAAGTATTTTTTTTTTCTGAAGCTACTGTGAAGGGCATTATGACTTTGATTTGATTCTCAACTTGGCTGTTCATGGCATATATAAAGGTTATTGATTTGTGAACATTGATTTATATCCTGAGACATTACTGTATTCCTTGATCACTTCCAGAAGTCCTGTGGTTGAGTCCCTGATTTTTCTAAGTATAAGATCATATCATCAGCAAAGAGCAAGAGTTTGGCCTCCTCTGTCCCCATTCAAATACCCTTAATATCTATCTCACCTGATTGCACTGGCTAGGAGTTCCAGAACTATGGTGAATAGTAGTGGTGATAGTGAACATCCTTGTCTGGCTCCAGTTCTAAGTGGAAATGCTTTCAATTTTACTCCATTCAGTATGATATTGGCTGTAGGTTTGTTGTAGATGGCCTCTATAGTTTTACAAGTTGCCCATCTATGCCTATTTTCTTAAGTGTTCTTGTGAGAAAAGGAGGCTGAATTTTGTTGAATGCCTTTTCTGCGTCTATTGAAAGGATCACATGGTCTTTGTTTTTGCTTCTATTTATGTGGTAAATTTACATTTATAGATTTGAGTATGTTGAACCAACCTTGCATCCGTAGGATAAAGGCTATCTGATCGTGATGTATAATTTTTTTTAACATGTAGCTGTATTCTGTTTGCTAGGATTTTATTGAATATTTTTGCATCGATGTTTATTAGGGATATTGGTTTGTAGTTTTTCTTTTTTGTTGGGTCTTTCCTGGTTTTAGCATCAGGGTTATATTTGCTTCATAGAATGTATTGGGGGAGGGTTTTGTCCTTCTCTGTTTTGGGATAGGTTCTGCTATATAGGTACTAGCTTCTCTTTGAAAGTTTGGTAGAATTCTGGTGTGAAACCATCTGGTTTAGGACTTTTCTTTTTTGGAAGAATTATTGGTGCAATACTGCTCGATATTGGTGTGTTCAAAATTTCTAATTCTTTCTGTTTGAGTTTAGGGAGGTGGTATGATTCTAGGTATTGGTACACTTCCTCCATGTTTTCAAATTTTGGGGCATAGAGTTTTTTGTAGTAATTGTTGAGGATTGTTTGTACCTCAGGGGTATCTGTTATTATTTCCCTTTCTTCATTTCTGATTGAGGTTATTAGAAATATTACTTTTCTGTTTCTAGTTAATCTGGGCAAAGGCTTACCTATTTTATTAATCTTTTCAAAGAATCAACTTTTTGTTTTACTGATCTTCTAAATGGTTCTTATGTTCTTGATTTCATTTAATTCTGGTTTAATTTTGGTTATTTCTTTTCTTCTATTAGTTTTGGGATTGGATTTTTCTTCCTTTTCCAGCTTCTTGAAATGGTTCATTAGGTTGTTGATGTGCTCTCTTTCTGTATTTTGAATATGGGCATTTAATGCAATAAATTTCCCTCTTAGGACTGCTTTTGCAATATCTCACAGGTTTTGATAGCTTTGGCTTCATTAGCATTTTGTTTGAGAAATATAATGATTTCCTAACTAAGAGCATACAGACACTCTTCAGAATGGGAGAAGATTTGCATGCATGCTGCAAACCTGACAAAGGGCAGAACCTACAGAGAACTCAAAACTAATCAACAGGAAAAGGAAAAAACAATCCTGGTTATAAGTGGGCAAAAGACATGAAGAGAATCTTCTCTTGAAGAAGACAGATGAATGGCCAACAAACCATGAAAAAATGCTCATCATCCCCAATCATCAGAGAAATGCAAATCAAAACTACCCTGAGATATCACCTAACCCCAGTGAAAACAGCCCACACTACAAAGTCCCAAAGCTGCAGATGCTGATGTGGGTGTCTAGAGAAGGGAACACTTTCTCATTGCTGGTGGGATTGCACTAATACAGCCTCTATGCAAAGAAGTATGGACAATCCTCAAAGAGCTAAAACTGGACCCTGCATCTGATCCTGTAATCTCATTACTAGACATTTACCCAGAATAAAAATAAATCATTTTACCATAAGGACATTTCCCCTAGAATGTTCACAGCTGCATAATTCACAATTGTCAAAATGTGGAATCACTTAAAGTGCCCATCAACTCATGAATGAATTAATAAACTGTGGTATATGCACACCATGGAATACTATTCAGCCATGAAAGATGGAGATTTTACATCTTTTGCATTTACCTGGATGGAGTTGAAGAACATTCTTCTTAGTAAAGTATCACAAAAATGGAAAAGCAAGTATCCAGTGTATGCAATACTAATATGAAACCAATAGATAAATAACCACACCCCCACATGAGAGAAAAACAAAATTAAATTCAAGGAGGGAAGGAAAGAGAAAGAGGTGATTGGTAAGCTTTCACCTAATGGGTAGCATGTAAGGGTATACAGCACACCCCCTGGGTGAAGGGCTCAACTGTAACTTTAATTTTACCTAACAAATGCAAACAGTGTAACCCAATCATTTGTACCCTCATATTAATCTGAAATTGAAAAAAAAAAGAAATCCCTACAAGTATCTATAAATACTGCTTTTAGATATAGTTACAAAAATTCTAACTCAT